AACAATGACTGGATCGTTTCGATACGTTGCAATGTTCTGCCCGGCTACTCCCTCCTTGATATTCCCCACAGGTATAAACCCATCCACCAGAATAAACGTAGGTTGCCAGGTGACCGATCCCGTCAGGATAGACGAGAAATAATCCATCCCGAAGCAGGTGAAGATGATAAAATAGACGAGAAAAACATTCTTTCGGTTGGCAACGTCGCGAGGCCACAGCAGCGTTGTTATTCCACCATCGACGACTTTGGAGAATCCAGCTATAGTGATTTCCCCTTTCTCCATGAACATGAACGCACACCGCCAGAGAAGCTTGCCGGCCCAGCACGCAGCCGCTGCGCGAGTGGCGCTGGCTGCGATGCTGAGCGCGGTTGTAATATCGGACTGCAGGGGTCTGGATGATTTGAGGCGAGCAATAGTTTTCCCGCCATCGAGGTCGGTGAAACGGGGCCGACGATGGTCGAGGTTGTAGACTCTATCCCCACTACGCGAATCAATGAGGTAGAGGGTCACGAAAGCGACAAGGATCGTCAACGCGAAGTGAAGGATGAAAGGTACGGCCTTCTTCAGGTTGGGGATAGAAAGTATCCTGAAAAACCATGAAGTCACCAGTTTCGAGTAGCGTGGAAGAGAGAACAGAGGCACTTACCCAGACATCCTCTCCAGAAGTCTAACCTTGGAGACAAGATGGACGTCTCTTTTTAAACCCAGTCGACAGTTGTAAGCAGGGCTACGACTTGACTAGCCTTTGCTGTAACCTGTTGCGAAAGTAATCAAAAAAAAATCAGTCGAGAGGAGTAAAAGACGTTACCCGAAATCCAAAGTCGAGATAGTGACGGTTCGGGGGAAGTTGGTTTGAGAACTTTCTTCGCCATCTAGGTTATATATTGGGCCAAGGGCTTGTCCGAAAGTGATGTGATGGATGAAACTTTTAATAAAACAGTGGGCGCCTCTGTGACAACTCTCCGCGAACAACGGAGCCATTCTGAAGTGCGAGACCCAGGTGGGGGAGAGTTGTGGAGCACTTATGCAAGCTTAGCTCAACACTCTGTTACCGCATATAAAAGCTTGAGTTGAGTAGGACCAATGTCGACAAAGAGAAACGAAAACCACAAGAAAACCAGACGATCAAGTTGCGATCAAGTTAAAAACATGGGAACATATCCTCTCAGGGTCATCGTATCGATGCAACCATGCCAAGGAACAACGGGAAGCTTCGAGTTCTGACAGGTTCTGACTCACCTACGACTTGAGGCGCTGACATAGGCTGACATTTAAGAATTAATGGCTGGCGAGGTTTGGGCGAGGTTCTGTTGAAAAAGAACAACTGCCATGCCGTGTAAGTAGTGCCTCAAAGTTTGAGGGGGAAAATGAATGCTTGCATTTGAGCATTCCCAAGCCAATGGTTTTCCCCACGTGTCGGCATTTGTTCGCACAGAGTGTTCCCTAAGTAGTGTTGCCGTTGAAGCGAAGCCTTGACTTCGATTCGATTGTTCGCCGGAGTTGGGATTAGTAAGCACCCAAACACGGTAGTATCACCTGATCCACTTGCTACGATTAGATAACGATTTTTTCAACTGTACTCACCATCCTTCGAGTCCACGGTCTTTTTGAGGGGCAAAAAGTTGAAGAACTTGATTAGAGGAGGCTTGTAAGTTGTTCAAATATTTCATTCTTTCTAAATGCTCAAGTTTTAGGGACAGGCCATGCTAGTTCTTCCAGGTGCCTCTTCGATCTCTATACCTAAGCGGGATACCCTCTTGCGCAGTATTCAGCAGATATGTCATAAAGTGACATATTTGGATGCCGTTTGGATTCATTTGATCAGGTGTCGATCCGAGCAACTCGAGGCTGAGCTGTCACAGACGTCTTCAACGTCGCGAAAGACCTTGGACCGACTTCTGGCATATGGAGACGACATTACGCTGGATGGGACACAATTAGCACTGTCAAAACACGAGAACGTTGTATATGTGCTGCCCAGACCAGGTTCGGTATCGCCCTGGTCGAGCAAAGCGACCGATATCGCTGCCTTGTGCAATCTGGGAGCTCATGTAGAAAGGATCGAGAGGGGCACGGCATTCATCTTCACCTCTTCCGAACCAATTACGCTCTCCGACCTCGCTACTTTCTCTCAGCTCATCCACGATCGCATGACGCAGGTCGCTCAGCTCACCCCACCCGATGAGACTGGGCTGTTCGCGCATGACAAACCCAAACCTCTCCGAACAATTGATCTTGCGGGAGTAGTCGGAGACGCGAAGGAGAAACTCATTGTTGCGAATAAGGAGCTTGGACTCGCCCTTGCCGCGGATGAAATAGACTACCTTGTCGACGCATACGCCGCAGGATCAGCAGCTATGAACAGGAACCCCACAGACGCAGAGTTGTTCATGTTTGCTCAAGTGAACTCGGAGCACTGTCGCCACAAGATCTTCAACGCGTCATGGACTGTCGACGGCGAAGCTCTGCCGTCTTCCTTGTTCCAAATGATCCGAAATACCGAAAAAATTAGCGGAGCAGGTACTATTTCTGCTTACTCGGATAACGCTGCTGTCCTCGAAGGGCATCTCGCACCCCGCTTCAGCACCATTAAGCACCTATACCAATCGCACGAAGAAGAAATGCCCATCCTCATCAAAGTCGAGACACACAACCATCCCACCGCTGTTTCTCCTTATCCAGGGGCAGCCACCGGGTCAGGCGGTGAAATTCGCGACGAGGGTGCTGTCGGGAGAGGCTCCAAGCCCAAAGCTGGTCTGTGCGGGTTCACCGTATCTAACCTCCTCATCCCCGGATACGAACAGCCCTGGGAGACCGATTTTGGCCGTCCGGCACACATTGCTTCTGCTGTTGACATCATGATTGAAGGGCCACTGGGAGCCAGCGCGTTTAACAATGAGTTTGGTCGTCCAGCTCTAACAGGATACTTCCGCACGTTTTCTGAAAGCGTGCCTGTTTCTGGCACGACGAGGGAGGTAAAAGGCTATCATAAGCCTATCATGATCGCTGGCGGATATGGCAATGTCCGACCCCAGTTTGCGAAGAAGCAGGCCATCTCTCCTGGGGCGAAGATCGTTGTATTAGGCGGTCCTGGGTTGTTGATTGGTCTGGGTGGTGGTGCCGCATCAAGTCAAGTGTCAGGTGCAAGTTCTGCTGAGTTGGACTTTGCATCGGTCCAGAGAGACAACGCTGAGATGCAGCGGAGATGCCAGCAGGTTATCGATTCGTGTGTTGCTCTTGACAAGGAAAGTCCCATCCAGAGTATTCACGACGTTGGCGCTGGAGGGCTGTCGAACGCGCTTCCGGAGTTGGTTCATGACTCTGGACTGGGCGCTACGTTCGAGATCCGGGATGTGTTGGTGGCAGACTCTTCTATGTCGCCCATGGAGATCTGGTGCAATGAGAGTCAGGAGCGATACGTCCTGGCCATTGCTGCGGACAAGGTGGCCGTCTTTGAGGAAATCGTCAAGCGGGAAAGATGTCCTGCATCCATCGTGGGAGTAGCTACCTTGGAAGAAGAACTGGTCGTCACAGATCGCCTTTTCAACCAGGATGTCATCCGGCTTAAGATGTCGACACTCTTTGGCAAGCCTCCCAAGATGTCGAGAAAAGACACAACACGGAGACCTGATCGTATTGACTTCGACTCCTCCCTTTCAACCTTCCTGCCGAACACACACTCCCTTCAAGATCGTCTTCCTCTTGCAATTGATCGTGTCCTGCGCCTACCTTCAGTCGGCTCCAAGTCTTTCCTCATCACTATCGGCGACAGAACCATCACAGGCCTCGTCACCCGTGATCAAATGGTAGGCCCATGGCAAGTGCCTGTGGCTGATGTTGCAGTCACTCGCTCTTCCTACGGATTCGACGTCCTTTGCGGTGAGGCTATGGCCATGGGCGAACGCACGCCTCTCGCTCTCATAAACGCTGCAGCCTCCGCACGCATGGCTGTTGCGGAATCGCTAACCAACATCGTCGCAGCCACCGTTGGCGACATATCCAAGATCAAACTATCCGCAAACTGGATGTGCGCTGCTTCGAAAGAGGGCGAGGGAGCGGCTTTGTATGAGGCAGTCAAGGCCGTTGGGATGGGATTGTGCCCTGCTCTAGGGGTGGGGATTCCGGTTGGCAAGGACTCCATGTCGATGTCTATGAAGTGGCGTGAGGGAGAGGAGCAGAAGGAGGTCAGCTCCCCTCTTTCGTTGATCATCACTGCGTTTGCCCCTGTGAAGGATGTCCGCACAACCTGGACTCCTCAGTTGCGCAAGGACATTGATAAACCCACCAGCCTCGTCTTCTTCGACCTGGCCAAGGGGAAGGAACGATTGGGAGGTTCTGCTCTCGCCCAAGTTTTCAAGGAGATCGGTTCTGAAGCGCCTGATGTTGAGAACCCCGCTGTGCTGAAGGCCTTCTTCCAAGGCTGCCAACAGATCAAAGCCAGCGATCCTGACCTCGTCCTTGCGTATCATGATCGATCTGATGGTGGTCTGTTCACTACAATCGCGGAGATGTGCTTTGCTGGCCGTGTCGGGGCTGAGATATCTCTTGACGCACTCCACTCTGACTCCAACCCCATTCCAACCTTGTTCAATGAGGAACTTGGGGCAGTTGTTCAGGTCCGCCAGTCGCATCTTCCGCGCCTTATGACCGTGTACAGCAATGCTGGTTTCCCGTCCACGTCCATCCACGTCATTGGCCGCGTCACTGATGAGCAGACTATCACCATCAACCACAAAGGCAACACCCTGTACGTCGGTGAACGTGCCGGGTTGCAAAAGATATGGGCGGAGACATCTTTCAGGATGCAATCCCTCCGTGACAATCCTATCGCCGCACAGGAAGAGTTCGACCTCATCCAAGATAACTCTCACACTGGCCTCTTCTATGACCTCAAGTACTCCAACACACCTTTACCTTTATACACCTCTCGTCCAAAGGTTGCCATCCTTCGTGAGCAAGGTGTCAACGGCCATGTCGAGATGGCTTGGGCGTTCACAGAAGCAGGCTTTGACGCAATTGACGTGCACATGTCTGATATCCTCAGTGGTAACGTCAGTTTGGTCGATTTCCGAGGATTGGTCGCTTGTGGTGGGTTCTCCTACGGTGACGTGCTGGGCGCAGGCAAGGGGTGGGCCAACTCTGCGCTTCTGAACGACACCGCTCGCCAGGAGTTCAAGGAGTTCTTCGCGCGAGAGACCACGTTCGCCTTGGGCGTGTGTAATGGCTGCCAGTTCCTGAGCCATCTCCGCGAACTTATACCTGGAGCGGAGGACTGGCCCGAGTTCAAGCCCAATAGAAGTGAGCGTTTCGAAGGCCGGGTATCTATGGTGGAGATCGTGGAAAGTGAGGCGACAAAAGCGTCCGTCTTCCTGTCGGACATGGTGGGCTCGAAGCTGCCAGTGGCCGTTGCACACGGAGAGGGAAGAGCCTCATTTATGAGTGACAGTCAACAAAAAGCTTTGGAGTCGAAAGGATTGGTGGCTATCCGTTATGTTGATTCGAACGGCCTCCCCACGGAGCTGTACCCGTTGAACCCGAACGGCAGTCCAGCTGGGATTAATGGCGTTCAGACGCCAAATGGTCGCATCTTAGCACTGATGCCGCATCCAGAGCGAGTTGCAGCCCTGGAGAGTAACAGTTGGTATCCCGACAACCTCGTCGGAACGTGGAAGGGCGTAGGCCCTTGGTTTAGGCTGTTCCAGAATGCGAGAAAATGGTGTAACTAGGCGGAATACACAACCGAGTAGATGTAGAAGGTAAGTTTCATCCCAGGCCATTGCGCTACTTTTACTCATGGAGTGAGCAGTGTCTTTTATTGTACCATACAACTCAGTAACAAGCTATCATCCAAATGGAATGAATCTGCAGGAAGGATGGTTTTAAACTGTGCTCATGTCTCATTTCTATATTTGTGATTCCTCACCCCCCATCTTTTGCCCCTAGGATGACGGCGCACCTGCTGCATCGCTGTCATATCACTGATTTGAGTCGATCAGCTCTATGCCACATTCTATCTTGAGCTCCTAGCTCCAGTATAACTGATCATGACGCCCCAACGGTACTTCGGACTTATCAAGGCGTCCTACCACGAGTAGCTAGGTTCATTGTCGTCTCGCTGCCTTACTTGGTGGAATTTTTGCGTGGATCTGCCCACGTACGATACTCAGGAGTAGGGTCCAAATCCATGGCTACGCAGCCCGGACTTGCACAGGGCAAAAATGGGAGCTATTGTTGTGCTAGGCGTTCGAACAGTTCCGTTCCCTGAAAGGAAAGTTTTGTATTGTTCAAGGTGATGGCGTCTCAACTTCTCGAAGACACCGCTGATGGCTTTTGTTCTTTGTGCTTCGTTTAACGCCAATCATGATGCCCGCTCCTGAGTGATACTTAAAACGTGTTAAGAGCTCGTGAGGCCAAAGATGGCGAAGGTACCACTGAGCATACACTCGGCTAGATCGCGATATCTGATAATTTCCATGCATACCAAGTTACCAACTTCTCATGATCGGCTCACAGCGATGATTTATTTAAGAAACCAGCGAGGAACTACTAGTGTAAAAAGAGGTGAGGCAAAGGTAACTACTGTTTGGGAAGGGGGGGGATACGTTTCACAACATATAGGATCGTTTTACCTAAGTGTCTTGTACCCCTGAACATTGCAGCGAGAAAAAACTCGTCAGAACGAGCAACCCTCTGCCTTAGTTTCCATGATGGTAGACCTTGCCGGACTTCTGCATACCTTGCCACAACCTCGTCCATTGTAGGCCGCTTCAGAGGATCGGGGTTCGTCATGTCTGCGGCTAAGCTTTCCATAAATTCAAGTCCCAATGTTTTCTTGATCTCAAGGGACTGATTGCCCTAAATCAAATGTTACAAAGGACGGGTCCTGAACTTCGAGAAATCGCACCTCCGTGAATTCATGCATGATTAGATGGCCTAGATGAAAGACGTCGGTTGGGAATGGGTCATATTCAGCATTCATATCCTCCAGTTCGGGAGGGTAATCGTGATCACCTCCCCGAACCACTCGCGCGCGGGGAGTAGAATCGCTTGGGGGAAAGCGAACTGAGAGTCCAAAATCAATCAAGTAATACTTGGGTAGTCGCTCTGTGCGAGAAAAATGCTTTGCTTTTCCCTTCCAGTCGGGAGCCATGCTCTGTTTTGCAGGGTGAAATCCATCAGGATACATAGCGTCAGCGTTCATCAAAACGTTGGGCAAATGACAGTCACTTTCGAAAGGGAATAAGCTGGGATTTAAAATAAATAAAAAGTATGCCAGATGCATACCGGTGAGCAATTCGGTGTTGATGCATGAAACGCATACCCTTGGCAAAACCTCATAAGCATCGATATCATACCGAGAGCCAAAGTAAACACACCTCAAATACTTGTCTGAAAAATTCGACCACTTCTCCAACGCTCTCGAAAGGCGGATCTTTGCATTCTCTTAGCAAAGGCATCACGAGAATCACCACATCATCTTCATCTGGAACTCGCATGGTTTCCAAAATCGGCACACAGTGGTTTTCGGGTATATCGGAAAGCTCTTTTGAAGAGAAGTAGCTGGAAATTTCTTCTTCATTCGGGTATCTTTTGGTGTTGACCTTCTTCAGCATGACCTGTTGATTGTTGTCCTTTCGAACGGCATCCTGTACCCTGGGATGCTGTACTTAAAAAATTAAGGCTAACGTAAAACCTGGAAGGAATAAATGATGTTACAATGTGGGTTTGGAAGTCCTCACAACGTGGTGGCCACACATCCTTGCCGAGCCAAGACGGAACCCAACCAGGAGTGAGCCTTGGTCGAAGCTTGTACCCGCGTTCATCGAGCCATGCTTGATGATCTCTCCACCAGATTTCTCCTCTCAAGAGGCCGTCTCGTTTTGGGTCCGGTTTATTGACTGGCATGGGATGGGGGAGAAAGACAATCAAACACAAATGCGACGACTACAACATGACCAAATACTCACACATGGACCCACAAAGAAACGTGAGCGGCGTATAGCTGTCAGTTGGCTGTCAGCGGAACTCTCTGCCCTTGTAAGTCCGGTATCCTTGGCAATTTATTTAAGTGCACATTCTTATACAATAGCATCAATCGCCCACCATCTCCTTACTTTCTCCTCCTCTGACGACGTTATGTCTATGTTTAACGAGAGCCAGAATATTTCTGTTGGGGACGATGCGCAAGTTACAAACGCTGGGCGCGATGTAATCAACATCCATGCCACTACTATAAATAATCATCCACCTCCAGCTTCGAGGGTCGTCGCACATCAACGTTCATTGGTAACGCCGCCTATTCACTCAAAATCTCCACAGTGGACGCCAAAAAACCGGATTTGTCGAGCGCAACAGCGAATTTCGTCGACCCTGGACCTTTTGAACAAATACGACGACGTAATCGACGAAGACACTTTCCTTAAATGCAATGATTTTTTGGTAAAGTAAAGCGACCTTCCTTTTCATGATTGGAAACGGCACTGACCAAGATAAACTTAGTTCGACCGCTGAGTCTGAGATTGAAGACAAAGGTTGGGTCGCATTTGTATGTCACGCCGATTACAGAAAACGCCTTCTTAATTACACCGCGGATGTTAAAAAGATCAACAAAATCGCTCAGGTGTGTATTGCCGCCTTTCGCTAATGTAGCATCGGCACCTACTAATGGAGGGTTTACCCGTCTATAGCGTGCCTCTCAACAAGGAGTGTGCTTACAAGTGAAGTATGTTAACACTTTGCACGCCAATTACTGCTTACATGTATTCCGTCGATAGTGCCCACGCAGACCAGTTGAGACAGTCGAGTGGGAACAGTGGTGATACTACCTGAAACGACCGGCATGCCTTTGTTGCACGTCCCCAAACTCACGGATAAGCGTAGAGGTAGTCCGCAGCTTCAAGACCAAAAGGCTGCGCCTCGTGGAAGGTTGATGGAAGGGCCAAGGAGAAATGGTGGTGGGGGTAGATAAGAAAGGATGGTGAAAAATGGACTTCGCTCACTGCTGGTCCACAGTTGGTCCACAGCTTGTTTTGTGGTCGCAGGGAAATGTCGTGCTATTTATTGGGTGATGGGACGGGAAGAAGACATCACCTCGTCATCATTCGTCTAGATCATTTGTATGCGGGATGCAAGCCAAGGGATAAACCAATAAACACTATGTAGGCTATATAATAATGCGAGAGGAAGCAGTGTGCCAGCGATGCCAGCCAGGGGATAAACGTGAGAACAACATCAGATTTTAATTTCGGGATGCGAAGTTGAAAACTAGAGTTTGACATTGTTCCAATGTCAACAAAAACCTTGCTTGTATTTCATGAAAGCCCGCTATGGCGAGCACATAAAAATGAAATGAGAGTAAGTAAGTTTATGATCTTTTATCAAGGGGGTGTCGGGATCATAATCCCGGACCGGGGGCCGGTTGGTTGGTTGGGCCGTCAGGCCGTTAAAAAAAAATTGGAAGCTCAAAAATTTTGGCCCAAAAACATTATAGACGGCCTTCCTGATGGATAAAGTATACATAATAGATACTAGAAAGCCTCAAGGTGTGCTAAATGCCTCAGGATGCGCCAAAAACACCAATGGGACTGCTTACATAAGGCAATAATAACATGCATTGATAATTTTCGTTAGTGTGGCAACCGTCAAAGACCTTTGATTATGATTTGTTAGCATATTCCGGGGCACGCAAACTCACCGTGAGATTCCACAGAACAGGACACTCATGCCGTGACTCATTCTGACACCAACGAGGTTCATAGGCCACCTATTTCAAGCTCGGAAATTGTCAACAAGGAAACATGAGGTCAGTGTGAAAGATGAAAATGTAAGGTTGTTGACATTGGAGGATTAGAGGATTGTTTTTGTGGATCCCGAGCAGAGCTAACCGCCAACAATGTGATCCAGTGGGATGTGAAACTGTGTGGATAAGTAAACCTACTTTCTGTTAGGGTTTCAACATGAAACTTACTTACATCTTCACGTCAAACCATTCTAATATCATCTCATTTGTGTTTGCCATGCACAGGTGCCCATGCATTGGGTCTGCAATGCATTTTCAACGTCGAAAGGAGGACCAGGAGCACGGCGGTGACGTCATATTTCCTAAAGTAGACATGTGCCTGATTACGTTGGGTGGTTGGTTCAGCCCAGCGCTCACTACCAAAAAAATCGACCCTAGGTCTTTTTTTAAAATCCCGACACCCCCTTGTCTTTTATTGACTGCTTGTCGCCGAACCGCTTACTAAGCGGTTCGCTCCTCACAGCCAATTTGCAGCCAATGGAAGTGGGTTCAAAATTTGTACTTACAAAAAGGTGTGATGTATCCCACAGTGGAGCCCTTGAGCACTGCAGGCTAAAACCCACTACTTACAGCTAAATGCAAAACCCTAGGCACCTCCCTAAAATTTCTGGTGTCTACTGTATACGACTGGGGCCAGCCAAGGGCCAGCTGTACGAGGTTGGTATGATGGCTTGGAAATAGACCTTGACAAGCAAGGTAAAACAAATACCAAACAAGTGCTGAAGTGCTGAGCGCTGAAGCCCAGTGAAAACCGACTCTGTTACCAGCCGCAAGTATCTGCGAATTCCCGGCAGATATCGGAGATCGTCGGCAGAGCAGAAAGGTGCAGGTAGAATGGGATTTCGTCCCTTTTGCGGATTTTTTTCCGCAACTGTCTGCCCCTTTTCGACGAACTACGGCGTTGATTGCGGAAATTTCGGCGGCTACCCCTTCTATTCTGCTCCCATCTGCATTTCTCTGTCCTCACTTGTAGGTAGAATTTTTTTGTAATTCCTTCATATAATACACCATTTCCTGCGAATATCTGCAAATTTCTGGTTGCTATATACTCAAGACCCCTGCGACACGACATCTATCCCTGGAACGGAACCTTAACCAATTGCCGTTTCACACCCATTCCCACCCATCCGCTTGTGCACACATCTGAGAGACAGATATATCAATGTCGGGGGTCGGCATTGTAGATGGGGGGAGTAAAGGGAATTTTGAGGCGCTGTATATTTCGTCCATCAGACATGCGACACCACACCAAAACGCACTCACAACTTGTCCTCGACATAGAATACACTGCAGAAGGCGCATATATGCACCGAAAATGGTCACTTAGACGACATGTACAAGGACAGGAAGTCACTTACCGAGGTATCAGAAATGGACACGCTTCCTTGTACCCAGTAAGAACAGTCACTCAAGCTCCAATAATGGTACTCATGGGCGAGCCGCGAGATGTCATGCAGAGCCTATAGGTTGACGATTCTGTATGAAGAATATGTTCATGTATGTTAACGAGAGGAATGGGCGGAATGGTGGGAAGTGCGAGGAGACGGATTGGGGGAGATGGTGGGGGGGCGGAAAGAAGGAAGGAATAAAGTCAATTCGATAGTGCTCTGAGATATATAGTTGTGGGCAGGTAGTAGAATCTGGGGAAAGAGTTTGAGGTGAGTCCAGATTGATGTCGTCCAAAACGAAGCAGCAGAAACATTGCGGCAGCCCAGTGAAAACCGGCTCTGCAAACCTCCACGAGAATGTCCGAATATCGGCTAAAAAGGGCAAAATCGGCGATGATCCGCTGCGGGCCGCAATGTTTCTGTCTGTGTTCTCGTGCTTTGTATGTAACGCACTGATGCTAGGATGTGAGGGAACACGAAAATTCAATTTAAAAGACTTGAGTCAGTTGAAAATCTGAATTTTCGTGGGTTGGGGGAAAGCTTTGGAAAATCCTCGTGCATGTGACTTGGATCCAAAACGCGTCGTGCTGATCTCAAGAAATTAGCACAAATCAAATCTGATACTTGTTCAATGGATGCAAATGACATCTCAGGTGTGATAAGAAAACAAGTATATTTGAAAAAATGATTTGACTCGAGAATTCCGAAAGCTTTGAGCGTGCCGGTGTGGATCCTGGTTTCCAAGCCCCATGTGAAGGGTCTGAGAAGACAACAAGACCATACCACCATGCGCAGCTCACCACGGTCGCGTTTCTTCGAAGACACGACACCCCAACCAGAGCAAGCTGATTTAAGGTAAGTGCGGGAGAAATGAGATAAAAATAGATTGATGATCTCAGATTGATCCCTTATTCAAGAACAAGGTAAGTAGAAATTTTATAACTTCCACTTCTTTCTGTACGCCGACATTGACTCTTCAATGATAGAGACTCGAGACGCAGAACCCGCGCTGGACATGAACAAAGGTAAGATTGACTCAATTTTCCTCCAATAATCCATAAAAGCCCTTGATTTCCAGCGCCCTTGAGCTGCAACCAAATCGGGCGCCACACCCATGAGAAGAAGGTGCGTTGCACCACCAATGCGAAAGCCATGACCTGGCATATCAGGCAGTCCAGCAGCAACCCAGATTTCGTTACATCGCGTCATGAACCATCCTTTGGTCATTGGCGACCATCCTCCGTCGGCTGTTTCGAATGAAAACAATGGTGCGTGATATGGTATGGATTTGCTGCACGAAAGATGATGTTTTAAGGCTTTGACAGGGCACGATGGGTCATCACGAGCTGTAATGGATATGGATGCGCCCTCCTGAAGCGTCATTTTGGTCCAGGGTATCTGACAGGTACCGTATTCTGTACCATTTGACAGTGTATGGAAGGTTAATGAAGTTGAGCGAGCGACGTGTTTGATAGGGTCGAATAAGTTCGTGCTCGGAATAACGAGCTCCCCAAGGCGACAACAGGACCAAAAGGCGATGCATGCAATTGCCCAGACTGCCGCGTCAAATGCGTTAGAGAGATCCAAGCCGTTACGCAATGCATATAGATGTTCTATGGTGACTGGAGGATGTTTGGCCCGTTTCGATGATATAGGTACGAGTTTTTGTGCACCTTTCTTTGCGTGCAACAAGATATCACCACCATTCCACTGAGCACCATTAATAGTATGCCAGAAGTGAAGGCCTGCGAGCCAATTATCAATTGTACTTGATGCTACCTTCCCCGCGTGGAAGGCGATGAAGGAGGCGACCAATGACTCGGAGGCTGGCATACGATCAACCTCGGAAATATGTATGCTATCACAGTACTGCGTGAAACACAGCAGACCTGAAGCGTATCCGTCCCGGGTCGCTTGGTCAAGAGAGAAGGCCATGACTTCGAAGAGACGTGTAAGGTGTGATTCCGGCAATGCCTTTCGCATATTCTCTCGGAAAATCTGAGTATGAGGAGAAATCCATTTCAATAGTCTTTCGCTTGCAACAACGTGAGGGCGATATATGGAGGGGGCTATTTCATTGCCCTTCCGAGGCTTCCTAGGCATCCATATACGAGTTTGCGATTGAGACAAGGATGGGGTGCGAGCATCCATGATGGTTGAAAAATCTGATAATTCTGAACGTACGTCTACATTCTTTAGGCAGTCGGATAGAGTAGGATCACTAGGCATGATAGAAATAATCGGAAATTGGAGGTGGTACAGAATATGGAATGTTCACTCGACACTCAAGAGGTGGAAGGATACCACGAGATATGGGGTCTGCTAAGTTAATGGATGATTCTACATATAAGAGAGAGATAGAAAGATCACGTTGCTCAAAAATGGCTTCTGCACGACGAATACACGAGTTGGTTTCTTGATTCCTTGACCATCCTTTCCGGAAGGCGCCAATGACACCTTCGTTATCACTGCGGATCAGAACGTCAAGGTGAGCGAGATGCATTTCACTGAGAAGCATGACAATGAGTTCGACAGCCACTGCTTCGAGCCATCCAATGTCTCGACCAGGAGCCTTCCATGCTGGAAAGGTCCTCCATGCATCCCACGAATCGTTGATTAGCAAACCGATTCCCCAGTCTGTTGAGGCGTTGACCCAAATATTGAGATCAGACGTAGGAGGGCGCGAAGCGAGAGAGCGAATGATAGACGGCATGGAAAGTTGAGTTAACCACCATTTAAGATCTGAAATGATGGAAGGGGGAGGGAATCTTGGGGAGAAGTCGTTGGTGAAAGTTGTGAGCCACCAAATAATATTATTGAGGTATGCTCTGCCACGCGAATAGACGAAAGTGATGTGTGATAACGAGCCATGCAGAGATTGTATTTCTTTCTTGAAAAATCGTTGTGATAAGGGGGAGTTCTGTAGAACGAAGAGAAGTTTAGCAAGATGCTTTTCACGTTTGACTTTAGTAAGATAGACAGTCTTTGAGACAAGGTCCCATTCAAAACCAACATAAGAAAAGGTATCTCCAAAAGGAGATCCCTTTGTTGTATGCCACGGAATCCCAAGCGGGGCAATCATGGCTTTGATGTAGTCAAGATCATAGTCATATCGATAGACAACCCCATCAGAAATTCCAGAAAATAATCCGACCTTGGTTGGATAACGAAAAGCGTTGAAATCATCAACCCATTTGATAACAGGACCAACACGGAGACTACGCCAAATGTCAACCGTCGCATCTGCAACTTCTCCTTGTAAACCTGAGGCAGAGGCTAGTCCGAAGGGTACATTGTGGTCAATGTAAAACAATCCCTTGAACTCGACGATCAGGTACCGTTTGCAAACAGGACTAACTGGAACCGTGCGATACGCCCCTTCCACATCAAGGGTGCACGCCTGTGTTCCTGGAGGCGCCGCTGATACCTACACGTACATCGTGTAAGCCTTGACTGCCAGAAAATCAGAGAATGTGAGGAAGAAACATAAGCCCCAAATCGTCCGTGTCCTTCAAGCAACTAAGAGTTGTGAACTCCGTCACGAAGTGCATCCGAACGAGGCCCAAAACAGAGAGAGAGGAGATGGATGCACAATGTCATAAAAGAAAAGAAAAGAATGATAGATGTGATGGGAAGCTTACAATTTCGGCACATTCAGACGCCGTGCCCCATCTAGTTGGGTACTCCTCTGAGTTTATGTCATCGTTAACGGAAAAACCCAGGTTTCCCCGATATGAGAGATTACGACAACAGCGATATTTATCAGGCTTGCCGGCTTCACCGGGCTTGACGACGACTTGGATAGGTGATGAACGGAATGGTCCAATTTTGGCTTCCAATTCTTTTTGAGTGAATGGACCTGAGAGGCGTCCGAGTTTGAGTTCGTCGACAATATATTCTTGGATGATGTGATCATGAGGAGATGCAGAGGCGAGATTGCCAGGAGTGAAAGACATATCAAGATCGGCGAAATTTCCGAGAGGAAATCCGTGAGTCAATTTGAAGGGAAGTTCAGGGTAATGATCAAGAATGCGAGCTTTCGATAAATAGGCATGAAAAGCATCTGCGCTATAAGGAGTTATGACTTTAGAGTAGTCAGAGTCAGAGTCGTGAGATGAAGATTCGAGACGAAGATTGTCGAAGTATGGCGAGCGGTCGTTGATAACGAGATCTGGACTAAATGTAAGATGTTCAAGTAATTGATGAAGCGGTAGCGAGCACAAATGAGCTGAGAGATGAGCTGATAAAACAGAAGAGTCAAGTTTAGATGCATTTGCGAGAGCAGGCACCGTGATCGGAAGCGCCACAGAAAGAGCAGATGTGATGGTCTGGATGAGACTTGGAGCAGATAGAGAGCTTGTTGAGATTGAAGGCGATGCAGATGATACCTCCATCGCTTCTTCGCACGAGCTTCCGGTTATCATATTTCGCCGTCGTCTGTTTGCCAGCCTGCGTGATCGACTCTTGGCATGACGCGAAACGGTGATCTCGTTGACAGATAAGGCAGATGGGAGTATTGGTGGAGGAAGCACCAGAAGACCGAAAGGAATTGTTGCTAGAACTTGTGATGACATTATCGGTACGACTTCCAGACTGACGAGACGAAGACTCTGCGTCGCGGTGATGATAAGGCGCATAGCGCGACTTGCCTTTCCAAGAGGAAGAAGACGAAGCAGTGTTGTGAATTGATTCGGCGTCCGAGGCCGACTTCGCTGCCAGAATTTCCGCCTGTAGCACCTCAAGCTTGATGGCTTCGAAGCGGCGCCTGTAAGAATCCTCGTCGTGAGGGCTTGGTGTTAGATTATATTTTGTACGGATTTCGATGTCGAATTTGAGAATGGCGGCGAAGTTGCGTTTGAGGTTGTCCTGTTCGGCTAAAAATTCATGGTGCTTCTTCCATCGAATAGCCGAATCCTTGTCACCGTGGGTCTCGACGAAACGGTGATATCGAGTCCATGCTTCGTGCCAATCCCCGATGTCCATAGAGTCTTCACCCTGAAAGAACTTGATATCGATGATGTGCCGCTTCAAACTGGTGAGCCTGTTAATAACCGTTTTCTGCGGGATAGAGGCCTCGCTTGTATGTAAAGTGTTTGTTGCGGAAGTGGTGAAGAGTGATAGAGGTATATGAGAACCGTTCTCGGCGAGAGAGATGATGAAAGGATGAATCCCGTAGCCTGTGTTGGAAGAAGAGGACGTCGAGGTGGTCTCGTTAGCGACAGAAAAAAGGAGTTTGGGAGCCGAGATGACATCCGAAGGGAGGGGATTATCTTTCAGAGTATTAGTGAGAGTGTCACGGACAAGTTTTTGTGAAGCAGGTGAAATAGCTTGTAAGGCCGCATATATCTGTGTCATCTTGGGAGCAGCCAACCCAGAGGGAGGAGTTTTTGGTCGATTGGGGTCTTCCTCTGATGTAACACGAGTTACAACGATGGAGTTGTCAGTAGTGACTGGGTCGATTACGACACTGGACATGTCAGAAGGGACATCTTTGTTAGCGGCACCAGCAGGAGGACGTGAAGTGTCAAGATCAGTCATTTTGAGTTTAATGGATTAAAATGAAATCGAAAAAATTCTGTGAAGGCTAAAATTCGCAGGGGGAAATGGGAATGAAAGCGAAGAAGACAGGAATTTTTTTATTGCTTCACGAACGACTTTATCCTCAGAGCGCACAGACCTCAGAAGGCTGTCAACACCACGGAACGTGGTGAAGCGGGCATCACCGCATCGCGCTTACAAAGCCCCTGCTTGAGTTGTTTCGAGCTCGCAAGCTCGCTCTCCAACTCGAGCCTCAATCTCGTCACCGCAAGAGAGGTTGTGCCGTTCGTGGTTAAGGCATGCGGAAGCTTAGCTAATTTAAATAAACGGTGCTCGGCAAGGCCCGAACCCGTCTCGCCCAACTCGCTAATCGTTTGCGCGACGAATCCAAGACGAATCTATCAAACTTTTTACAGAAAGAAAGCAGTTCTTTTGTCCCTACACCCAGCACCGATACCGCTTCTTCCAACATGGCCATCGCTATTCGAGCTCATACGGAAACACCAACCGCCGCCTCGCCACTTGGACCGTACCACGCCATTCTCAATGCTCAAACTCCAAATCCCATACGTCGGCCGCATGCACAGTGGGATTCTAAAACACGGTGATATTCTTTGGGCTTTGGATTCAGAGGGTAATAAAGCTGGAGAAGCCAAGGTTAAGAAGCTTTTCGGGAGGTGTAGACTGGAGAGGATCGGAAGGGTGCTGGGGGGATCTAAGCGCTGCGGGGTTTAAGACTAGGAGTGGGGCTGGTGTTGATGTTATTGGGGGGTGGGGTGATCGGGGCCACGAGCGCTTCCCGCATCAGGAAAAAGAAAATGTTTATGTAGTTTGCACATCGTATATGTAGCCTTCATTCTTCTCACAATATACCCAGTAGGCTGATATAGACATGGTAGACATTAGTAGATTATATGGCATGTGCTAGTAGTCCTGATATTCCATCAAGCAAACTCAGTTGAATCAGTTGCCTGAGTTTACCTTGCACTATCATCAGTCGCACAGGTAGTATTGGCAATTTGGCCATCTGAGTTCTGTTGTCCCAGTGCATTCATAATATCATAATCAGTACAAGGCCACTCCCATGCAGCAGCACCCTGCAAATTCCAGGACAAAAGTCTGGCTAGGCTTATAGGCTCCCATTGCTAGTATACTTAGTAAGTAATAGCACACACATGCAGCAAAATATTAATCTTGTAAAAATCGTGTATGAGATACATAAATATCAAGCAAGTGTTGGAGGAGATATAATGGTAATGAAGATATGGCTTGAAGAAGAAAGTACGCACATCATGAAGAACGCGGTTGGAACGCGGCAGTCAGCAATTCGTTGAAGTCCGTTGAAACTCCGACATCATGTGATCATGTTGACTTTCGTGTTTCCCAACACGGAAATTCATTGCTCTTCCTTCCCACCAGTCAACAAACGACCTCCTCCCTCGACGAACCAAGGACGAACAGCCTCTTCTCTCGACAAACGGCCTCCTCTCTCGACAAACTGCCTCCTCCTTCCCTCGATGAATAGTCTGCCCTCTCCCTCAATGAATGGTCTCCCCCGTCAACGAATGTGGCTCAAAGTACTCTCCATCCACGAACAGCCTCCTCTCTCGACGAAGGGCCCTTTCTGACGAACAGCCTCAATGAATGTGACTCACAGAGAACCCTCCCTCGACGACCAGCTTCCTCAAGAACTCTCGATCTCACTCGCGATTTTGACGAAGACGCTCGCTGGCACGATGGGCTCTTTGCTGAGTTTTCATCAGAAGCAGAACAAACTTGTTAGTGCATTTTCGAGGCCCTCGTAGAGGTGTCTGACATTTTTATCTAGCAACTGAAGGAGCTGGAGCGTTCCAGTGAGGCGTTGCGAGTACCAAACGTGCCAAGGAGTAAATTCGTGTTCAAGCGCAGACCTGCTGCTGCTGCCACGAATTTTAGAAGACCACCCTCCGAAACAAGTTCAACGCAAACCCTTCCTCCTCCTTTACAGACACAAAAGGCGCCACCACCACCACCACCACCCGCGGCATCAACACATCTACCCCTCCCCCCACTCACACTACCACTTGACTCGTGAAGACTTACAAAGCCATCTAGCGCCATCCGACCTGTTGATCTCGGATCTGCGTTGATAGCGGCATGTTATGGTGCTTTGGTGTCATCAGGTATGCTTCGAGTTGTTCAAAGCTTCGTGCTTCTCTTCCTCATGCTGCCTTATTCAGTTTAGGATGCACGCATCCAGCTCCTCCCTCCCTCCCTCGGCGAATGGTCTCCCCCCTCCCCCAACAAATGGCCTCTCCTCCTCCCTCACGCGATCATGCAATGAATGCAGGTATGCTTCGAGTTGTTCAAATCTTCGTCCTTCTCTTCCTTATGCCACCTTATTTAGTTTAGGATGCACGCCTCCAGCTCCCCCCTCCCTCGACGAATAGTTTCCCCCACTCCCCCAACAAATGGCCTCCCCTCCCTCACACAATCACGCGATGAATGGCCGCCCTCCCTCGACACACGGCCTCCTCTTGCCTCGTTTCCGGGCTGCCAAAGATTGGGTTCATGTGGAGCTTTTGAACTGGGAATGATTAGTCTAGATAAATCTGAGTAGTTGTTTGATAGTTACATTTTGCAATGCATTTTTCCATTTTGCGACTCCTATGCATGTGTGCCAAAATAAACAGTGTTAGTAGATCAGGTAGCTGCTGTAGGCATGAACTACCCAGTGCTACCTTGAAGTGTTGAGATACTACTGGTATCTACTACGATACAAGGAAAGACTACTGGTGCCTACCACAATGCAAGGGAGAACTACTGAAGCAACTCATGGGGGGACTTGTATACCAGTCTATTATAAATACTGTGGCTATATAGAACTACTGAATCAAGTCATTTTTTCCTGATGCGTACGTTCTCATTTTATCTCGTTGGACGCCAGTCTAATGTGAAGAAATCAGACTACAACCATAGACCCACCGACCACCTCCGTCTTCATACACACCGACGGCTGCCCACTCTCCGGACAAGAAGGCACCAAACTCACATCCCAACTCATCCGCGGGCGTATATGCAAAGAAACTAAAACCAACGCCGCTTTGACGGTGCTTACAAAGGAGAAATATGCGGGTAGCATATTTCAGAACCTTGTTATGGAGGTTCCGGCGAGGACGTTGATTGGGTAGTTTAAGAATGATGTTCATCGACATGGGTGAGTCGTTTGTGATTGCGTATTTTGGTCGTTCCTGAATTTTGGGGGGTAGGACGATTAACCATGTATTCAAGGGATACAAGCCGTGTGGCGAAGCTATTGATATGGGCCGGAATGGGGCTTCAATATCAATGACTGCGGCTGAATCGTCGGGGTATGCAATGGCGCCGCTCCAAGTTCGCAGGATGCTTTTTATCCATCTCCGAACACAAGGTTTGTTTCTCGTTTTGTCTCAAAGCCTCTTCCTTCCTTACTCACTCACCTTTAAGTCCAGTCGACCCAGGCACGGTCATAGGCGAATCCTCAAATCCTCAAGACTTCTAAGGCTCTACGTAAACCCCTGCCTCAAAAAGCAACTCACGAACATATGAGCCGCCGGGGCGGATAAGAAGATCGGATTGGTTTCGCCGATATTTGTGACGCTTGAGGAGGTGTTGGCGTATAATGAGATTGTGGAGGTTACGCCTGGAAGCATTACGTTAAGAAAAGTTATGTTGGATCAGGCTAAGAGGATGAGGATGAACGGGAGAAGAAGTAGGATTTGGATCGCCGGAAGGGTGAGTCGTTATTTGTGAAATTTTGCGTTCAGCGTGGGCTCACTATGTTGGTTAGATATCAAACACTCTAGGAAGTACCTTGCAAGTTGCCCAGTTCACGCACGGACTGCTATCCATGCCAAGCCGTCGCAGAACCCACAGTTCTGCCTCATCAGCAACCACTCTTTCGAAGACATTGGTATTTGTGATGATTTATAGACGTTCATTGAGGTTTTGGTGTCGAGAGGAAGCGTGTATGTGGTCGGGTGATACGCGACACACGGTGAGTCATTGAATTCCTTTGTTTCACTTCCGCATAATTCTGGGCAGACATATATCTTAAACCATGCATCTAAACCTACATCGGCAGATTCGCATCTGTTTTCACCTCGGGTGGACACCAAATTTTTTACGCGATAAACCTTGCATGTTGAGGGTTAATCCTCATCAGCACTGAGCCCGCTCTGCAATATCCCCACATTGTCTTTGCGACCCTTATTGAAACGAAATTCAGACATAGCTTCGTCACGTCTCTAGTCGTAACTACATGCCGATCAGCGGTAAAGTAGTCCCCCTACCATCACTTGAAGGAAACTCCATAGAGAACAATGCCAAGCGAGACAAACAAAATTAATCGTAGAAAGTTCCCGTCATGCGGGGCATAGGGAATTTGTCTCCAAGTTTCCGGACTTCCCTTTCCTCGTAAGCGACAAAAAGATCGCTTATCTCCTGGTCGACGAAACCGGCGTCTGCGAGCCTGCTCAACGCAGTAGCACACCAGTGGCGGCAGCCGTGACCACTGTCAGTAAAGCTTGACGGGAAGTCATTAGTAAGTTGGACACCCTCATCTGAAGAACAAATGGCGGACATACATATATTGGTCCACCTTGTGCTGGTCCAACAAATAACGGCACAACGTCGCAGCGTCAGTACCTTCCCTAACAGGAGCGACAAGGACTTCGGGTTCCGGGGTCGGAGCCCACGGCAGGCCGTTGTACTCGATGCGAAGGAGTCCACGCATCGGGCAGCTCATATCAGTATAAGACGGTGCGTTGTCCAAGCGGATAAAGGCGCCGTCCTCTCCCACCAGGGCAAGGTGAAAGTGGAACAGAGTCCCGTCGGGTGTTATTTCGCCTCTCACCTCAATCTTGGAGATTGTCATCGCGAAGACGCTATCATCCAGAGAGCGTGATTTCCAGATGGAGAGAGGTTTATTGGGGAGAGTATAGGTTCTGATGTGGGAGTTGGTTGAATCATTGCCTGTTTGTAAAATGTGGTAGACGCACTGGGTAGCCATTTTGGTTTTTTGGGGCTGAGCGTGAAAAGGTGATGTTCGTCGACGTGGAAAGCAGGAAGGTTTTGACGTTGCATGGGAAGTGACCTTGCGGAGGTTAAATATTAAATTTAGGCCCAGCATCGAGTTGGGGTTTGAAAACTTTCATATTGATCCCTCGTCAAATCTTCACCAATTTTCCCCGGACATTGACCAGTCGATACTATGGCCTCTCCTCTGATGGAAACATCCTTTTAAATGCTAAAAGGTGAGGATGAGGCGGCCGGGAATCGCGATGCAAAACCGACATACCTACGGTTCAACATATATAGTTGTCACGCGCAGGTCAAGAAAGGCCAGAGCTTCTTGTCATCATCTCGTTTGCGCGCATTTCTGGGCCTGCCCTTTTCCTTGCCCATGCATGAGCGAGAGACATGGGTTAAAATTGATAGAAATGTGCCCGGTCTATTTTCGCGAAGCTCGTACCCCAGGACTCTCATCGATGAGCTTTGCTTCCAGTGACAAAGTCATTTCAAAATATGTATGTACTCATTTGTACAAACATACTATTACTCGGGTAGAACCCAACGGACAGTACGCCAATAACAATTTCGAACCAAGAACGTAGAAGGGAAGGGAAAACGAACCATACATGCATGAAAAAAGCCAAAGAATCATGATAACGAAGGTGCACTTAACTTGAATTGACTCTTGAATCTTGTGCCTCGGCGCAATGTCACTCAAAGCCTCAACGCCTCGCAGGCCACCCGTTATCTGTCGCCCTCTTACTCGAATACTCACCACCCCCCGTCCAACCTGGCCCTCTATCATTCTCATACCTCCCATCATACCTTCCCGACCCAGACCCAGGCCGATCATCATACGGTCTCCCTGCACGATCACCATATCCCGAAGCAGAGGCACTCCTCGGAGGAGGCGCGTGGTCCTGCCGCCGTGCCTCGGGCTGCCTCATCGCAGCCATCAACGAGGCCTCCAACGAAGGACCAGCTATAGTAGGCGACGGCAGGCTAGGCTGCTGCAGTGCAGCTTGTTGTATGCTGTGCTGCTGCTGCTGCTGGTGGCTGAAGGAGCTGGAGGGGAACGTGAATTGATGTCCTGGGGAAGGGAGCATAGGCGGGACGGGCTGTTCGGTACCCATGCTCGAAGGTGGTGCGGGTAAAGTAGATGATTTTTGGGGGATTGTTGGGGGCTTTGAAGGGGACGGTGCGGCGCGGCTCATAGCTAATGACTCTTTAGTTGCACGCAGGACAGCAAGGCGCGAGGTTGGCGCGTTCGATGGTGAAGGAGCTGGTGCAGAAGATGGCTTTGACGCGGTCCGAGGTGTCGACTTTGGTGCATCAGGCTTTGAAGAACTCGCACCTGCTTTCTTCTTCGTCTTGGGCTGATACTCCTCATCATCTTCGCCGTCCTCTAACTCCTCCTCCCGATCGTCTACTGCCTTCCTCTTCCTTTTCTCACCCCCAGCTTGAAACCCAGCAGGTATCCCCAGATCACCCGCGACTTTAGCTGGTGCGAGGTCGCCAATGAAGTCCATCAGACACCTGGACACGCGGGTGTTCATTCGAATATCGACGTGCTTCTGCCTGACGTCGTCCCGCATTTGTCCAATCGCAGCAGACAGCTGTGGCATCGAAAACTTGTCCTTGTGCGCGCAGATCAACGTGCTGATGAAGACGAACTCCACAGGAGACACCTTCGCGGGCTTCTTGAACACCTTGTTCAGCTTCGGATCTTGAACAAGATCAGAGAATATGCGGAACGTATCCTGGACTTTGGTTCGGAAAGTGGGGTTCATCGCGTCACTGGCGCTGAGCCACTTTTCAAGCTGGGAGTGGCTGCCGACAGACTTGAGTGAGGGGAGTTTGTCCATGCACCAGACGGCCTGGGCTATGCCGCGGAAGTCACTACCGCGACTACGGTCCCATTCGAGTCCTTCACCCGACAGGCCGCCCTCTTCCTTAAGATGGAGAGTTTGGAGCTCGCGGATGAAGGCGGCACGCGGGGTGTTAATGACTTGGAGCTTCTCCGCTGGGGTAAGCGCCATTCCCAATTGCACTCTCTGCGCATCATCAGCGGCGTGTCACTATGGGAAGGGTAAAACAACCCACCTGGAAGATTTCACGCTCGTCAGCATCGGTGATGTCCTGATACTCAACACACACAATCTGCTTGTTCACAAAGAGCTTTCGGAGCTTTTCGGGGAGAATCCTGCGAGTTTTAGTGGTGGTCTTCAGACCCGGTACATCCTTGAACCACCACTTTTCACCTGAGATACTAGATGCCTGTCAGACCGCGATTCGGTGCTTGTAAATAATACTCACGGGTCCTTGTCTATTACACGCTACAATGTCAGAAGGAGAGGCAACCAGAACCAAAGTTGGATGAACGTACGGGGTATCTGTAGCGGGACGGTAAGACGTGACATCATGCAGTCAAACGAGCACTCACTAAGCCATCCATAAACCTGACCACACCAATATAAGCCGAGCACAAGAGCTGATGAGGCCCTGACACACCTATGGATCGACGTCAACCTCTGCTTGCCATCGATGCACGTCTTTGTCTCCGACCCATCTTCAAAAGAATTGGCCGCAAAAATAACAGGGGGGATGTAGAAATTGCGGAATATGGAGTCTATAATGCCGATTTGCTTTGACTCGGGCCACACAACGTCTGAAAACTAGGTCATACCCTGCGCTACACAGCCAGAAAGTAAGCATCGACCGACCTCGCTGATATTCGGGTTCGAGGTTGATATCACAGTTATGTATCTGATCTAAGGTTCTTTTTAGATGTATCAACCCATAGTAGCAGAAAAACAAACCGTACCGTATAAAGCCTGAGCTGTGTAGGTTGTCGCTCTGGGAACCTTGAGGGCCTTCTTGATCCGGTAGCCACCTCTCTCCTTGGGTCCAGAGTTCTTCGACTTTTTCTTGAATTGATCGTCGTCGCTCTCAATGTCGGTGAGGTCCGAGTAGTCTTCATCGTCCATGAGGCAGAAATGGTGGTGGTGGTGGTAAAAGGGATTGAAAGGTTTGTCACATGTTGGACTTTCCCACAAAATTCGCACCAAGCCACGTGATCGAGATCAACACTAATTTTACGCCCTGCAGTTTTCATAACTTCATTCATCACATCCTTCATAAATTCCGGGGTGGTTGAACGCTTCTGTTTATCCGAGTCACTGCCAATGCCAGACTGCAGATTTCCTTTGATTACGAGAGACTCGGCCGGAATAGAGGCCAGCGAATATGGGCTCTCTGCCACCCAATCTCTGCCTCCAAGTAAGTCGCCCTAAGCGCTTCTTTACCGGTGGTCAGGCAGTTCTCAATTACATCCTCCGTCTTGTAGCCTCATAGATTCAATGACTGCCCAAGAATCAATCACTTCTACTTAGAGCAATTTCGCAATTTCGCAATGAGTTTTTCAAGTTTTTGTTCGGTCTTGTTTTTGCTAAGAGGTCTCGCAGACAGGCAGAGCGACTTATGCCGATTTCAGGTGTTCTGGAAATGATGCTCCATGTCAATTGGATGCATACGCTGAATATAATATGGTTTGAAGAAGCCCCATGGATCTACAGCGGACTTCCGCATCTGAAAAATAACTACGTGTGTGTATCACCTTAGATTTGTTTCTAATAGCAGCCTTGCCATACTCATTGTGTTTGTCTACTTCAGTGCCCGTCATCTCAACGAAGAACTTCTATCCCTCTTATCGGCTATGGCTTTCTTAAACGGAGCAACCGAGGCCAAGACAGCTGGCGGAGGCTTACCAGCGTTGGGTGAGATATGATTGTCAACGAAACAACCGCGAGAGAGGATGGACAATCTCGTCCGAACCATCCATTGAAACCACACCATAGACTGTAAGGCAGCCCGTCAACTGCGCAACATTCAATAGATCCTTGTCTGCTGGCCACTGTTTTTACTGGTACAACAACGTGAGTGCAATCGTCTATTGCGGACAAGCAAACAGAAATTTAGAAAAGTGCGACCACTGAAAGGATCTGCCTACAGGATACGATTATGTTTAGAGGGAATTTTATCAACGTCGGTGGAAATCTTACGCACGGTAATGGTGTATGCAACAGGTTCGTCTGACCATCTCATAAAAACAAACACTTATCAAACGTGTACTTAGGGAATGCGCCACAGTCAATGAACGATGGGAACAACCGTATTGGTGGTCACCAGATATATTTCAGGACCTTGAGACGAGTGTGTTCCACGTCTAGCTTTTCCTCAATAATGTACTCCGAGTCTTCAACTCAACCTCAAGGTAATAGCAACGTCAAACTCAACGACCATCAACGCGCAATATAGGGACCGCAAAGAGTCATTCCACCACAATGACCAAAATGGTAAACCCCAGGCTCTCTTCAGACGTAGTTACCTTTCCTCGACGAAGCCAACACGCAGTCTCTTGACATAACCATTACTTCTCGTGGTATGAAAGGTGTCGACGGCGGAGAGTTGATGGTTTGGGAACAAGGAATTCTGGCTCCGATTCTGTTGTGTTGTTATCAGGTACAAAACTCAAACGAAACTCGGGAAATCATATTCCCTTTCAGCGAGGTGACAACTTGGTAAAGAGTCATGTTTTTGAAAAGTATAAAAGTTCCGCGGGGTGTGGGTTCAAGTATGAAATACGTGCGGCCTTGGTGTTAACATGCAGGTGAGTTATAATTGACTCGATACAGACGCGTTTACAAAGGTAAAAAAGATACAGAGCCCTAAGTGATACGTGGCGACACGGAAATCGGAGAAAATACAGAAGCCTAAGCAATACGTGGTGCGTGCACATTCAAACATGATACAGAACGGAGACGGGCAAGTTAAGAGACGTGAGCGGGTCGTGAGCAAGAGACCAAGACGAACGGGTACCAAAACAAGATTGAGGAACGCATACTAGGAAGACCGGAAACTTGAGGAACTATTTCAAAACGATTGCGAACGAGTAAACGAGGATAGAAGGCATCACTAGAGCCCCGTTTAGTATGGCCTATCCCCGTCGAAGAGGCTGTGGTCGCTGCAAGGCGATCCAGACTGACTGTTGCTCGTCGATCCAGGCTGACTGTTGCCGGTATAAGGACCTTGGAACGTCGGCGCAGTAACAGGAGCCTCTCCGTAGCGGTAGAGTGGGCGGCCACGGTGTACCTCGTGATGGACTGGCGGATGAGTTTGAACGAGTAGCCCACCTCCAACAGACGAGTTGCTCGGCCATCCAGGCTGACTGTTGCCGGTATAAGGAACTTGGAACGTCGGCGCAGTGACAGGAGCCTCTCCGTAGCGGCCACGCTGTACTTCGTGATGGACTGGCGGATGAGCAGAACTTCCTTGAACGAGCAGCCCACCTCCAACAGACGATGGATGAGGGCTCCACTGATAGGGCAGTGGCAATGGTTGCACTGTGTGAGAAGGGAGGGGCAAGACCATTCCACTGTTGCTGATCGGGTTTAGAGCTGAGTGGTGATCGAAGAAATAAAAGATTCGCCTGACGAGTGCTAGAACATCGCGCGGGCCGTTGCGAGTTCGTAGTTCGCCGTCAACGGCTTTCACGGCTCTATTCAGCGCCGTTTGGCCTTTAACAGGATCGGTCCTCCAATATATCGCATCGTTACCATTGCCACTGTATCGACAAAGCCAAGGATCATATGTCGGTGGAGGTTGATACCATTTTGGAAGAAAAAGAGGCTTACGAGTTCAGAGAATAGATGACCTTTGCCTTGGCCGACAGAAGGTTGGCGAGGGCGTCTTCCAATGAGATGTGTTCAGACATGGGGAGTATTGCGGATTTTGAACTTCAATTGCGCGATTTTTCCATGCTTTAAACGCGTCGGGATTCATTTAATCTCCTCTTGAAAGAACGGAGTCATCTTAGAAAATGCAACAGCATTTTTGTTTGCCCCATGCGGTATTCCCCTATCAATTCCGCAGCGCAACATCGTGCCATTTGTGGCCGCATGTGGCGTAATGGCGTTTGCATCATGTATCCAGGGCTCTCTTTTGATCGCAAAAACGACACAAGGAGGAGAAAATTACATTGATGAGAGAAGATGCATATGAGAGATAGACATATGACGCGCACTAAGTAACTCAGGTCTGAATGCCTAATTGAACTGGAACAATGGAGGATGGCGATTGCACATTCAAAGATGACCGTTCGGCTAAGTATTGCATTTTTCGGTTGGCAGTGCAGTGCCTAAGTCCGCTGTGCAGGAAACAGGGAGGTCCCCAGCCTGAGCCGCTGACCTCAACACCGCTGTCTTAAGTAGGCGACGTTCAACCCTCTTCCTTCTCGGGGGGGAGAATAGCGACCGAATCTGTGGCAGGAAAATACGTAGGCTCTTAGTATCGATGGGGATACTAATAATAAACTCACCTCTTCACAGAGAAGCGTAACAAATTGAATGCACACATTCAATTCGTCGGAGGTTTCAGGGTCTTGTTCGAGATTCAGGCTATCAATGACCTTTTTCAGCGTCGTCTCTTGTTGTAAAGCGTCGAGCTTCCTCCAGCGTATATCAGCTTCTGCCTCGAACCGGCTGAATGAGCAATGGCTGAGTGCGTTAACATATCATGTCCAAGGGGAATGTAATTACGTATCGTTCATCATATTCACCAGCTTATCTCTTTCCGCAATAACTACTTCTTGAGGAATGAGAGGCATTTACGACGAAAGTTGATGGTCAGGATTAAGCAGTGAACAATGCTCAACGTTTGCGACTCCGATTGTGTTGCGTTGTTTGCGCCCTGTTCGCCCTCTAGTTCCAGCAGTTCAGGAGTGTAAAAGGGTTTGAAGCCCCTCTTCCATGGTGCTGTTGCTTGTCTGATGAGGAGTCAAGCTCCAGTCGGCTCTTCGTTCCCTTCCAACATAAATATTGACAGTGCCCCAGTAATATCGCTCATGAGTGAATCTGTATTTATACCGAAGTAGGATAGGGGGAGGGTCCCGACTGACCTTAAACAAAATATGTAAATCCCTGTACTAAACGAAATCTTTGCATACCCTTTACGACAGCCAAAGATTGTTGTCGGCGTGGGAGGTCTGGGTGTTCATCATCGGCATCGTTGACGGCGGCCTGCATATGAACGAGCGCTTTGTCCAAAGCCCAACTCTCGGAAGTGGCCATGAAACGCAAGTAGTAGAGGTAGCCGATGGTTTCTTGCGCTACGCCATAAGGCTTGTCAGCTTGGAGTTCCTGGCAAATGGCTCTGAGAGCGCTTGGGTCCTTGGCCTGTGCAGCGGCCTATAGCGAGAGGCTTTCCTCAGGTACATTGTTTTGAAATCTTAGAGTACTGTACGCACCATGTGATATGCAGAAATTGCTATTCTATTACCAGAATTGCCTTCGCCTTCCCTCTCCACTTCCGAATCTGTAGTGATTTTCTCAGCCGCCTCAGCGTCTATTCCAGCTTTGTACGACATCCTGTTATATGGCTTCGTCAGCGTTCTGTGCACATCAAAGAGGGGTACTGGCTCAAATACACATGATGATTTGTTGGTGGGAGCCAAGTAAACCTGGAGATAGACAACGGTGATATTGTGGTAAGAATCAAGAGAGCTAGCACCGCCTTGCTTCGCCGTGGTTCCTTGCTAAAGTCACGTTAGCTTTGAGCGCGTAACAATATCAGCAAGGGAATAGATTCGGAACGCATGAAGTTTGAAGCTCCAGGTGCAACTTCAAAGTATGGCAAGACAATTATTGATGAATGTCATGAAATTCGGGGGAGCTGCCATCAAAAAAAGCATTCGATCGATCGTATTGCCCGAAACCAATAAAATACTGGGAAGAGAAAGGAAAGTCCCCTTCCCACTTCGCACTCATTGTTAGTTATTCGGGGGTGGGTTAAAATTTTTGCACGCCAAGGACGATATCTAGGGCCCACTGGAGATGCGAGGGAGACACGACGTCGAACAATAATCGATCGCATGTTCAAGCCTTTGGTGGAACCCCAAAAGAAGCGCGTCTGGAATTGAAGACCACCCCAAAAAAGACATGTAAACTGTTGTAGCGGCACGGGTATCCACAGGCGGTGAACGTTTCAAAACTCCGAGACGGAGAGGAGGTGAGAGGAGGTTCGATGGAGTGAGGAACGCACCAGGACGGTGCCCAGGCTTGGGTAATTGCCCATATATGTGTCCGCGTTCAACGTTCCTTGATCGAGCTCAAGTCGCCTTCAAACATGGCGCAACCGCCAGCAAGGGAATCAGGAGGAACGGTAAAGATTTTTGATCAACGCGATACAGGAGTAGCAAGTTTTGACTCTGTCGTAAAAGTCGGTAGGATGAGTGCAAGCTTGGGGGAACAAACGCGAACGAGTATGTGCCGAGGGTTTTTCTTCGCCTGGCCACTACACCCCCCTCCCCATCTTGAGCATCCGAATTCAAAGTCAACAACTTGAAGAAGCGATGTTGGGATCGTATCGCGCAGATGGCGATGTAAGGTCGAGTTACAGAATCTTAACGTCCTAACGCTGATGACGAGGATGATGAAGTCTTAGCAACGAAAACAGCGAATCGACTTGTGTGGCGGAGTAGTCGGAGCGGAAGGAGGTGGCGTGGTGCGTTCGCTGCGAGTTGGGCTTCGTCCGGATGAGTGCTACACTTGTGAAGAGGAATCGTCGCAAGCAGAGACTGCGGACGCGTTTTAAGAGGGCTTTCGTCCGTACGTTGACGTAGCTGTCTCAACGGATAGTTTACTCCGGCAACCAAACACAACCCCAACCCCACGCATCAAAGGCTTCTTTTTTTTTTTTCACACTAATTAAGCCATTTTCAAAATTTCCCGCGCCAGCCAGCGACGTTGACTTCTCATCTTGTCAGCCTCAGCAGGAGCAAAAACGAGAAAGGGCGCAAGGGGGAACGGTTGAAAGGTGAGTTTTCAGCGCCATCGCTCCATGTATGCGCGATAATGACGACGATTATGATAGCCCCCCTGTATTGGCATCCTGGCGTGCCAGGGATTCGGATATCGTATGGAGGTCGACTGTCCTCCTGGTCCACGGGTCATAGTACCCTCAAACGCACCGCCTCCAGGAGGGATACGGGGAGGTGCGAGAGTATGCACAGAACCGGGGTGTGGTGCTCTTATAGAGTACGATTCTGCGGTGGGCAGTCGTTGTGATCGATGCATCATCCGACGCAAGGCCCGAGATTTCTGTGCGATGAGGGGTGGAGTGGTGAATGGTGTTGGGATGGCGCTGGGAAATGGTGGTGGGAACCCTTATATCGTACCCGTACGTGATGCGTTTTTGTGAGGAGAGAGGGGGAGATGTATTTTTGATTCACCTAGGTACGAAGACCACCTATGAATAACGTGAGCGTCTCGGTGAGTGAGCGTTCATCAAATTGCGTCACATATCTCTAAGCTGTGTTCAAGGGTGCTCATCAAGGCGCCAATCCTTCAAGACCGTTCATGTTGCTACCACACCAATTCCAAAGACCGAGTCACCCGCCCATACCCCATTCAATCGGGCCCTACGTCAACCATTTCAACTCGCGCGGAGAAATGGTTCAATTTGTGTCACGGCCAATGGTTCCCCCCCTCCCTGTATGCGTCTTTCCCTCCCTTCCCCTCCTTTTCTTCTTTGTGCACCTCTAACGAATCGAACAGACGTCCGCTCCGATACAACTATGCAAGACACCAGGCTGTAACGCAGTCTTACTCCCCCAATACCACTACCCCGGACGACTATGCAAGCGCTGCCAACAAACGCAATATCAGTTCGTGCCACCACGGGCGCCTGACATGCAGCGCCCACCACCACCACCATCACCCCCATCCTCGAAATCGACGACTGTCGAGGAGGATGCCGCTATTGATCTAGTGAGTGTCCCGTCCCCTCGCCTTTGCTTTCACTATCAACTCGGACACTCTTCTTTGCAGACCAACTTGGACGCGGGATTGGACGATGACGATGATGTTGAGATGGACGATCTTGAGCTTGAACTGACATACCCCGAGGTGAGTTTCTCGTTTACACAGCCTCTCCCTTTCTAAAAAACGTCACCAGCTACCACCCGCAACCCCAAGCCCATTCGTCACCACACCATTGGTAACAAACGCGAACCCCAGAGTTCCACCACCATCAATTACACGAATCCCGCCCGTCCCTCGAGCGCCTACCAACCATCGAAAACGACGTAAAGTTGATGTTGGCATCGCTGAATCTAGACAAACGAAGATTAAGGTTCCGGTTCGGAAGGTCCGTCATCTTTTCCCTTCCCCTCCCCTCGTCTCTCTTTGCACGTCACTAACCTCCCCTTCATGTTCATATACAGACATCCCTGAAACTCTGCTCCTCACTCGACTGTACGGGCGTCGTTTCGCCCGAGTCGAGAGCTAGGCGGTGTGTAGGGTGTGTTATGCGGGCGTGGAGAGTGTTGAAGGTTGGGTTGGGTGGGGTTGATGATCGGGAGGAGGGGGAAACGGGGAGGGACAAGGACGAGGGCGAGGGAAACAACGGGAAGGGGAAGACGGAGCGGAAGAATGGGAAGAAGATGGGGAAGAAGAAGGGGGTAACGTGGGCTGACGAAGCGGAGGGAGGGGGGTGTTTGGAGAAAATGACGAGGATTGTGCCGCTGCCTCTTTTGGATGATGTTGAGCGGAAGGTGTGTGGGGAGATGATGGGGTGTGAGAAGGGGGAGGAGGGGAGGGTGAGAGTTGAGTGTGCGGCGGGTCTGGATGATCATGAAGGTGGGGATGTTGTTATGGATGAGGTTGAGGATGTGGATGAAGATGTGATGCCCTCTGATGCCAGCGCGGACCCTCCGAATCTTCGCTCTGACTTCCCGATGCCATGTCTGCCTACACCACCGCCATCCGCCTCTCCACCACCGTGTTCCTCTGTCCCTCCGCCCTCTTTGGCCTCGCCTTCGTCACCTGGACCATCGCCCGTAGAGGTTGAGAATGAGGCCTCTCATCATCAACATTCGACGATCAGGGACCTCGACTTGAAGACGACGGATACGGACGTTCGTATACCGGGGTGGGACAGCGACCTTTCGAACCTTTCAGAGTCTGATTCGCTTGACGAGGATGACGACGACTCAGAAACGGACTCAACCACAGACTCAGATTCTGATTCCACTGACGAGTCTGATTCTACTGATGATTCGGACACTAGTATCAGCACCAACACAGTACCAGTATCAGTACCAGTACCAGTACGTCTCCCCCCGCACTCTTCCCCTGATTTTTCTCACCAACTTTACGCAGGAACCAGCCCAACCATCCATAACGGGCCTCAAGATCCGCATTCGTATACCCCCCGCGCGTATCAGACTTTGTGCGTCGGGGGATTGTAGTGAGGTTTTGGAGGGTCGGCCTGGGTATTGTGTGTTGTGTCGAGCGAGGAGGCGGGCGAGGAGGAGGGGGCGAGACGAGGTACGTCCCTGATTCACGCTGACCTGGCACGGAACGAACGCCTAACTGGAGACTTACGTTCAGGCTGCCCTCGACTTTCTACAAGACTCCCCAGAAGAAGAAGAAGAAGCGACGACAATCGTACCGGGTGCCCGGCTGTGTTCAATCCGCGATTGTACACATATTATACCGCCCCCTTCGGAGTATCGTTGGAAGATGTGTAGTTGGTGTAGGCGTCGATGGAGTGATGATGTTGTTGATCCGCCGCCATCGTTGAATGATGAGGTTGATCATTTTCCTCCTCTTTTCTTCGTACTGAAAATCTTTTTCAGTTGAAAGGTGAAGGGAGATGTCAGAGTAGGGATTGTGGCATGCTTCGAGCCGTTAACTCCACGTCGGTGGAGTGTAAACAATGTTTGACGGGAGCACGGTACTCTAAAAAGCGCGCCCGACCGAAAAGCAGTCCTTCAAGTTCTGGGATGATGGATGTTTTGGGGCGGATAGTAGCCCGTCGGAAGGAATACACACCTGAAAAAGTGAGCCTTTTTCTTTCCGAGATCTCGCTTCCACTAAACACTTTTTATCATCGAAAAAGCCTCGGATCCCATCATCCTACATCGAATACAAATCGCTCTCCTCCCTCCTAGAAGACTTCCGAATTCGGCTCGGGGGGTTCTTACAAGCGCAATCATACCACTTCATGCACATGTGCAACAACAACTCGACACCGCGCGCGGCGATATTCGGGTTCGACGGCGAGTTTTCGGTTGTTGCGCTTGATTTGGACGTTCCTTCACGGAAGGCGGAGGTAGAGGGGGAGGTGTTGAGGTTGAAGGGGGAGGTTGAGAGGATTGGGAGGGTCAGGTTTAGGTGAGCGTCTTTCGTCTTTCCTCACATATTCATGTCTGACTCGCGCAGTCCGAAGAGGATGGTGTCGATTTTCGATTTTGGGATCATCACTCGTTTCGTGTGCGTGCGTGAAGTGCCCATGGATATACAGCCTGGAGAAGGAGGAGAGAAACCGAGAACGAAAACGAAAATGATGCAGGGTGAGCTGGAGATTTCGGTGCTTGCTGATAAGTCCCATTGTTTTATACCGGGGCAGAGGACGATACTGAGGTTTCGGTTGGTTGGTTGACCTTGACTTTGGGAGAGGAGATATGTTTATTTGATTATTCGTCAGTCCTTCCTGTTTTTTTTTGTACATTCTTTGTTTTACGGGAAAACATGCTGTGATTTTCGGTACCTTATGGCCCGATACGGTGGAGAAAGTTGCCGTTGCCATGGAAGCTTCGTAACGATGATGTCGGACTTTCCTATTTTAGCTTACAACCGGTATCTACCGGTTACAACCATTCCAATCGCCGGTGGCCGTCTGAGTATAGTAAGAAGTAGTGGAAGTGGAAGTTAGAAATGGGAGTGGAAGTCGTCACGGAGTGGAACTCGCCTGAGTGGAAGTCATGAGTGGAAGTCGATTGTGACTTCCACTCCATCATTGTCGGCAATATCCGAGCGCTCCCCGACGCCATGCCCTGTCCCGCCCCATTCCCTAATTGAGTGAACTATGAATCTGGCCACAGGCCACTGGTGGCCACAAATCAACACCGTAGGGTATATAGCTCTTGTCATGACAATATTACTAGTTTCCTCTTCCACCCCCATTTACTACACACCAATGGACAACCCTCTCCAGATTACACAGCTCCTTGAATCAGTGGGAGCTGATCTCGTTAATGAGTACATCAGCGAGGTGAGTCTATAAGATCAACTTGAACTAGTACTGAGATGCTTAAATGGTATTCTGCTAGATATTTCCGACACCTGTCGTCGCGTCTGGGTGGCACAAAATTGAAAATGCCCCAGACTGGATTGATATGCATGCTTTCATGGGCTGGATGAGCCGCCGTCTTCAGTCACAGCCAAAATCCCAATCCACCCCTACATCTTCTCGACACATTAAACGCGAGCCTATCGCCCTGACTCCAATCATCAAACGCGAGCCAGATATAATTAGTCTTACCGATTCTGATGGCTCCGATGTTATTGAGTCTGTCGGCGCGCCTTCCTGGGCCACCCTTGCTCCTCAGCGACATCGCAAAGCCTCCTCCATGGGAAAGAAAAGGCCTCGAAAATCATCTCCCATCGATTCTGAAGGCTCTGACTGTGAAGTACTCGACAAGCCTTCTACTGCTGCACCACCACGGCGTCATCGTAAAATGGCTCCATCCCAGAAGAAACGTAGGATTCGAAAAGGTTCTTCCTCCGAGGAGGAGAATGAATATATCAAAATTACACGACAACTCAAAGTGAAGAACCTTGTTACGCTCACGGAACTTCCAAAAACTTGGACTGTTCCAAGGCCCGAAGATGACATTGCATATCTCCTTGACCTCAGTGATGATACTCGCGTGTGGGAAGATGAATCAGGCAAGGCTCTATCTATGGCAGCCATTCTCAAGAGCGAGGTGCTTTTCACAACATTTATTTCAAGCACTTTAAACTAATTTTCTTTACTAAATTAGGACCAGGATTCGTGGGGTGGTGGGAGCTGTGGTTCTATCAAACCGGCAAAGACACCAAAGGTCATCCCGCTCGATAACCAGCCCTGTCAATATGCGGAGCACCGTTGTCAGGGGGTCTACCACTGTAGTGAGATTGATCCCAGCCTTTTAGATTCCTGCGAGCGCTATGAGCCTGATGAAGATGAGCGCCGAGAACTTTTTAATGCGGAACGAGAAGTTAATATGGAAGAAACATCTATTGTCGAGTTGCGAGCAGTTGCGTGAGTTTTTTCTTTATCCGCTTTTGACGTTCTCAAATTATATATTATTTCAGCTTTGTCAAAGAAGCCGAAGGGATTGCATGTCCCGCTGTTGATGAAAGTGGAACCCCATGTGCAGGAGTCGCCGTTTATCGTAAAATGAATAAAGTAAGTTCCTAGATTGACATTTTAAATTTTGACGTTCAATAACAATGTATTTTAGGTCAACTGGGATGGGAAAAAATCGTTTGTTGGCTGCTCGAGATATATGCACGGCGACAGAAAATCCCATCGCTTTGTATCCATCCCTAAAGAAGTGAATGAAGGTCACGTCAAAGAACTATTAACATCTGGGGACAAATCTTTGAAGACTCTCGTCAATACGAAGGCATGCGCTCATGTTATTTCTGCTCGTTCAGGATTGAAGGGGGACGGGAAATGCAGTGAGCTTCTTTTTTTTCTTTCTCTCAGGCTGTTCCTGACTTACGCACTCACAGAGTATTCTCACGTCAAGGACGGAAAAGTTGTGCAAGGGCGTCTCATGCACCGTAACTGCCCAACATTAATTCAGATATACTCACCAGTTGATCGATCTGATCGTCGCGCCATCGTTATTTTGCGTGGAGCGCACAACCACCCTATGCTTGTCGCAACCAAACTCTCACGCGATGGGAAGGATAAATACAAGGAGGCTGCAAGAAAGGCAGGACCAATCGGACTTACCGTTCTGAATCTTGATAAGGGTATGCCGATAGTTCCTTGGATGTTTTAATACGAAGTTTAATGTGTAAATCTCCCAACATCTAGCCCCTTCTACGAAAGCGTTTTTTAATGGTGACATTCCCGCATTGGCAGACCCTGCCCTAGCAATATCAAGGCTGCACCGCAAGCTGGTCCGTGAAGTCAGAAATGAGAATAATCCTCACGGGAATGAATTGGAGGGTGAAATTTTTATTTTTATACCTACTTTGCTTATATCTCATTTTTGCGAATTTTAGGAGTTTTGTACATGCACAGAAAAAACCACGAGCTTCTGCCTGAGAAGAGGTACATTCATGAAGTGCGATCACAGGATGGAGTCGATATGATTATTACCATGCTTCCCTCCCTTGCTGCATTGATCCACACAGCTGATTCAACCCTACATGATAACACATATAAGCGAGTGTATGGGAAGTGGAAAGAATGGGAAGTTGTCATTTGGGATAAGCGGCTAAACATGAGTAAGTTTATTTTGTTTACAACAGGTCGTACTAGGTCCTCACATTCGGATTCTTGCATTAGGAGTCACTGTAGCACGCATTTATTGCACTCACGAGACTCGGGCGGCATTTCTACAAATGTGGTCTGGACTATGGGATACTGTTGAAAAAGTGACAGGAAAGTTTGTTCATTTTAGATTTATTGATGGAACTGGACTTCGCGCGATTCTCGTTGATGGTTGTAAACCACAAGTGGACGCATGCGGAGATGATCTCCTCAACCGAGTTCGGAAACGTGAAAAACACCTTATTGTTGAGCGGGACCCTCAAATAATTGTACAACACATTATTCGGACATGTTGGGTCCATCTTGTTCGGTACAGATACCTGCTCATTACTTGAATCCTCACTGATTAGATTTCATAACAGAAAATTTGAGGATCTTGCGAAATCCTGTCCTGATGAAGTTATGAATCGTATCCGCGGGTTTCCATTCCTTGAGACCCATGAAGAAGTCGATGAATTCATCAAGTGGTGTGAAAATTCTGAACACAAGAAAGTCCGAGGTATGTTTTGATAGCTCAATTCTTCGTGAAATAAACCCAAGTTTTTTAATTATTCAGATTGGATGGTTGACAAAAAACAAAGTCCTTGGTTTATACCATCTCTTAATCGGTTTATGAGTAAGATTTCCGAGGAAGATTGGTATCTTACACCAGCCGACACCAATCTCAATGAGAGTGCCCATCCGTATACAAATAAACATACAGGAACAAACTTGAAGATATTGGAAGCTATTCAAAAGTACGAGAATCTTACCTTTGAATTCTAGTGAAACTATTTAACACATTTTTAGAGCCCATGAGCTTGACCTCGACATTGAGGCTAAGCGAGAGCAAATGGAGAAGGATTGCATTCTTTCAAACCATTATAACACCCAGCCCGAACGTGACCGCGCGAATCGAAAGCGCCGAGATGCCCGCACACAGAAGCTAGAAGCTCGAAACGATGCCATCGACGAGCTCGACAACATCACCAACCAAATAAATGAGGCAGCAGCACGCGCAAAAGAACTTCGTGCGAGAAAAAAGGAACTCCAGTCAGCAAGTGGCATCAAGCGAACCAAAGCCAAACCAGGCGCGAAGGTCGTAGCAGCCCCTCAACGTCCTATTGCTGGCCCATCGCAATCTGTGCAGGTACCAGAGTTTTCTGATAGTGAAGATCTCGAAGCCAATTATCATGAGGATGTTTTCTCTGGTAACCCCAGCCCTGCACGCTCTTTGGTATTGCACTGCCCAACCAATCCCTTCACGTTTGAATCAACCCCAACACGGCGCTTGCGGTCTCCCTCTAATTTCGACATGACTCAAAACAGTACTTCGTCATCCCCATATTCTGGGTATCGCTTACCAGCTCCAAATAGCTCTCCCACTCGATCTGGCACAATTTTTCCCAGTCGCAGCGGAAACTTTGTTTTTGACAAGTCCCTGGATCCATCATTTCTCATCCCTCCTACATACAATTCATTCTAAACACTCCCTTTGTAGTTTTATTGATATATAATATGATACGGTTTTTATTACAGAGGCGCATTGCTACTACTACTAAAACATAGCCACAGCTACTTGTACTAAATTCTACTAATTCAATTCTGCACCATTCTGTACAAAAACAGTTTTACTGGCAAGCTGAAGGTCAAAATTAATGAGCAAAAAAAGATTGAAGAAACTGGTGAGGGTTAAGGGAGAAGGTTAATCCCCCTTCTTCCGAGGCACTGGTAGAAGGTTGTTGCAACAAAAGAAGAGTCGCTCTTTCACGCTTTGATAAATTAGCTTGCATGAATAGATGCAGAATTAAAATCTGCGTCGAACGAATCCGTTTACAAAACAAACGGATCCCATTTGAGTGTGCTACGTCGTAAATACTACAGAGCTCAATCTCAACTTGTTTGTTTGGACCAAACAAACCGCGCCCATTGGGTCAGTTTAGGCGTCGGGATAGTAGGCGGCGGTGAGTCCGAGAGGGGAAGCAAACCCGAATGGGCTTCACTGGATGTCGGGGGCCTTGAGTGGATGTCCGAAGGGGGCAGTGGATGTCGTGGCCAAATAGTGGATCTCGAGTGAGAGTGGATGTCGTTTCCTGACATCCACTGTCACTGATCTGTTCATGCCTCTGGCCGTCTCAACCGCTTGAAATGTAGTGTTGCCGTGGCTCAGCTCACAACGGCTAAGCCGGTTGAGCTGAGCTGGAAATGGCTAAGCTCAGCTGATGGATCGGCTTTCCAGACACCGAGGCTTGGCTTGGCTTGAAAGCTGGTAATCAATGGTTTGAAGCTGGCTTGAGCTGCAGCCAAACAAACACATAGCTTGAGCTGGTCTACAGGGTAGGTAACATGTAAGTTGTCCTTCTACCATTGTCCCTGCACCAGGCATTGACAAAAGGGACTTTTTCCAGTGACCACACGGTCTGCACGACGTCAACGGTAGTGACCGGGACCATTGACGACCATGTCAAGCGTGTCCATCGTCCATAGCATCACGACTTGCCAACTATATCCCCCTCTTCCTCACCATAGCCATCTTCTTCCTTGTCGGGTTCAACAAAGGGTATCGAGAGTACCTTCTTGTTGTCATTCCAGAAGCAATCTCACCGCCCTCCCTGCCTTTATCCGAAACGAGGGAAATCGACACATGTTTATGCAGAAACAGTACACTCTCATCAGCTGCTGCGCTCCATGAACCAGGATACCTACCCCACTTCCTCGACTGCACCTTCCCTTCCGAATGAACCCTATCACACGCGCCTGTAAACCGACCCTGTGCAGATACAAGGTGGTTTGTCGATAAGTCTCAACCTGCAGCCTGGGAAATTGATTTCGTCAATGGGGGAGCTGAGGGATTTCGAGAGCTGAGGGATTTCGTTGAATGATAGAATTGTTTGTGAAAAAGGTTCGAGGTCATCTCTTTGTCTTCATTCTATCTCATACTCTTGTCTAGCTCCCAGACATGGGATTCGCTATCAATGCAAAGGCACAAGGTCAGGTGCTCAAACTCTGGGAATACCGATACCAAACCTCGCAGTCCAACCCCTGGAGTGCAAGCCATGCTCGGAGGACTATTCAACCATGACTGGCGCACCCACGGCAACATCTGGGAAGCCTGGTGATGGACATGTCACCCCAAAAGCGCGACTCGTGGTCTCTTCTCCTCAAAAAGGGACATATTTGCAGGCAAGCCACGGCACCACGCCAGCCAACAACTTTACATTTGCCTCATCGCTGCCGATATCGACTTCTACAATACCTCGTGTGCACATTACTTGCAAGGACACTTTTTCCTGGATTGGCGGGGCATAACGGCGCTGTACGCTGTGTTTAGCCCTGCGAAGGCCAAGGTTTTTTTGGACACTCGGATTTGAGTCATTATCATTATGGGAATATGCCACGTACACGACATGGAAGGTCTGAGCTTTCTTCCTTCTCACTGTGACCTGAGCTGATTGGTCTCTTTACGCAGTTTATGTATACAGACTTTGCTTGGGGTGGGCTTGACTATACAACGTGCACAGCGTCCTTGGCTACTAGCTAGCATTTGGATGGTTACAAGAACTCTGAACACAGAACTCATAGCCACAATGTAGCATTCTCCATGTTTTGCAAATGTTTTTTTGATATTACAATCCAAATGGATACATGCACTGCCCCGTTGTGACGACGTCGCCAAACACTGAACCTTGTTCTTTGATATCAATCAACACGTTGCCAACTTGAGCCCAACGATGACCTCGACTTGCTCTGCCTCTGACCTCACCACGTTTGTATGTCGTAAACTTTGACATTCCTTGACTTCATGAGCAAGATCCGAGCACAGTACTGTGTCGAAGATGTAAGCATCGGTGAGCTAACAATCCAAGACAATAGTGTTACTAACGACAAGCTGACTTACGCTATCCATTCATTTGAAGGGGAACATTGATCGCCGTGTAGCACAATGATCA